CCCCCCCCCCCCCCCACGTCCGTGGACAAATTGTCTTCCATGAAACCGGTCCCTGGTGCAACAAAGTTGGGGACCGCTGTCCTAAGGTGTCGATGCCAAGTGTGGAAAAGTACATGCAAGGATGTTCATTTTACACTCGGCAAATTACACAAAAATATGGGCCTGGTGAATGAGGTTCTTTTCTTTATATGTAGATAGTATGAAGCCATTAGAAATGATATGGATCATAGCAGCACTGTTCACAATAGCCAAGATGTGGAAGCAACGTAAGTGTCCATCGACAGACGGATGGATAAAGAACTTGTGGTACATGTATACAGTGGAATATTACTCAGCCATGAAAAAGAATGGAGTAATGCCGTTTGCAGCAACATGGATGGACCTAGAGATTTTCATACTAAGTGAAGTAAGTCAGAAAGGGACAAATATATGGTATTACTCATATATGGAATCTAAAATATGACACAAATGAACTTATTTACAAAAAGACTCACAGATGTAGAAAACAAACTTACGGTTACCAAAGGGAGGGGATAAATGAGGAGTACGGGATTAAAATATACACACTACTATATATAAAGTAAACAACAAGGACCTACTGTATAGCACAGGGAACTCTACTCAATATCCTATAATAAATAATAGTGGAAAAGAATATGTACGTATAACGGAATCACTTTGCTGTACACCTGAAACTAACACAACATTGTAAACCAACTATGCTTCAATTATAAAAAAGAAAAAAGAAGGTCCTTTTAGTTCTGTCCCCTACAGTACAACATTAGAGAGAGTTCACAGTGGTGTCGGGTCATTTCTCCAGTCCTGGGATAACAGTCTCTCTCCCTCCTCCTCCTCCCATACCTCAGCTTACTGTTTCTGCGCCTTTTGCTAACGCTTTGTGCACTAAGTTTATGAAACAGAATCTGAATGGAGAGAGGAGCAGTCGGCAGGTGGAGAGCTTGGCTGGGTCTTTCCAGTGCTGGTCACGCGTGTGCTCAAGGGACCTTCCGGCTGCCGTCACACAATCAGGTTCAGGACGATCCCCTCAGAAAGAGCACCATCGCTGAAGTAATGAAACGTTCACGTCGTAAACAATAGACGTGGATCAGTATTTATTGCCGTGGAGTATTGGGCGGCGCTGTAGTGGGCAGAGCTCGTTTGAAGGAGCTTCTCTAACATCAGCAAGCCATTTGGAATGAGATTTGGGTGATTCTGCTGTCCGCTGTGTACTTGAAATGTCTATGATAAACGGGTCTTAAGATCCTAAATATTCCGTTTCCATGAAAGAATTTTCATGGGGACAAAGACCAGCGTAATGGGCTGGGGATTACAGAGAAGAAATGCACTGCAGCTTCAGCTTCCCGGTACTCAGAACCTGGTGCAGCTGCGGTCATGCATGACGTCCCAGTTTCACCGTCCTGACCTGCGTCCTCAGACCCCATCCTCAAAATCCCTATGTCCCGACCCAGCCTCCAAAATGAGTGCCGGGGGGCAGCCGCTCCCACAGCCAGTGGCCTGCACCTGCGGGCGAACCCCGGAGCCCCACCCGGGCCGGGTAGGGGTCCTGGTGACATCATCCCGAGGGGCGAGCCCGGCCCCTCCCTCCCGTGACGTGCAGGGCCGGTCCAGGCTGGAACCACAGTCAATTCTCAGCACAGCCCAGAGGGAAAATGCAAGGCCTGATTCTGGGGGAGCCCCTTAGCCATGCCCTCCTTCCGAAAAGGGAGAAAAAGCAGGACCCTCTGACACCTACTACACAGGTGGGGTGGGTCCGGAGGTGCTGCCCCGGTTTGGAGGGCAGATGGGAGGCTGCAGGTGGGGAGTGTCGCCAGAAGGGACTGCAGTCTTGCAGATGGGGGTGGGCATGGCCGTGGTCTGCAGGAAGGAGGTGGGGGTGTCACCTGCCCAGCGGACCTGAGGAGGGAACCCAAGTGTTCGGGGAGGCGGTATCCAGTGAAAGGGAGCAGGACCCTATGGGGGTCCCCAGGACAGACCTCCCCGCCATGTCCTCCACCTGCCTCGTGCAGAAAAACTTTAGTCAAAGAAGGAACTTAATCAGAGAAGTGAGAAAGTGCAGAAGCAGAGAGAAACAGACGGGACAAAACAATAGTAGTTTTGTCAGGAAAGTCAAGGACCTTTAGTTCCTCCTCGAGGGCTAGAGAGAATATTCTGAGCCCTATCCTGTGAGCTGTCCTATAGGTACTGAAACCCCACCAGGTGGACGAAGTTGGCTACATGATGGTCAGCCTGTGGCGGTGACATAAGCTGCCACAATTACGAAAACTGGCCTCAAGGAAATGGGAACAAACTGAACCTGGGA